TCAGCTCAGAGTCTGCTTGGGATTCTCTCCTTTTCCCTCTCCTTCTGCCCCTCTGCCTCTGCACCATTCCCTGCTCTTATGCTCTCCCTCTTTGTAAAATAAATTTCTTTTTTTTCCTAAAGATTTTATTTATTTGACAGAGAGAGACACAGCGAGAGAGGGAACACAAGCAGGGGGAAAGGGAGAGGGAGAAGCAGGTTTCCCGCGGAGCAGGGAGCCCGATGTGGGACTCGATCCCAGGACCCTGGGATCATGACCTGAGCCGAAGGCAGATGCTTAACTGACTGAGCCACCCAGGCGCCCCTAAAATAAATCTTAAAAACAAAAAACCCCAACATCCTGTAATCCAAGGCTGACACATGTTTTGGTGGTGACATATTCCTCAGACAGCAGGCACTTCTATTTGCCAGTTCAAGTGGCTGCCATGTGGCAAGAAGGTAAACACACAATTCAGGAGACCCACAGGGGAAGGAGGCATTGGGGTGAGAGACTTGCATTCTTTCAGATTTTATGCATATCGGGGCCTTTATTAATATTTTTATACCACTGTTTCAAAGCCACACCATTCAGTTGTGTACCAAGACGACAGCCGTGTTGTAGCTAAGCCTCTACCTCCCCCTCTAGGTCGTGGGAAAGATCAACAGGGCCTGCGACACAGCCAGGTGGGGGCAGAGGCATATAGGCAGGGCCTGGCCTGTCCCCAGCTCCTCCACACCACCCTTCCTGAGTCCTAGGGGGCCTATTAACCCACAGCCTTAACCTGAACTTTGAAGCCTCCAGGGAGAAACTCACTTTTCATAGCATGGCCCAGGACAGGCGGGAGCTGGTGCAGCCGAAAGCCCTGACCAGAGCCCTCAGTTTGGATTTTTGGGGAAACTGGAACATGCAGCAAGTAGGTCTACAACAAAGCGAGGTCAGAACTAGCCTAGAACTATAGATTCCCAGCCTGGAATCGGTTCTGTCATGGCCCAAGCCCTGCTCCACGTTTCATCCCCTACTGCCCTGTCCTGCAGGATGCCTCCTCCGGGAAGCCTTCCCAGATCCCCTTGGCTCTACACCCTTCCTGCCACCCCATCACAATACTGTGTCTATTCCTCAGTCAATACCAGCCCCGCTCCCCCAGGATTTGGTATCAATGACAGTCTAAATCAGTGGCCAGGGGCGCCTGAGTGGCTCAGTCGGTTAAGCGTCTGCCTTCAGCTCAGGTCATGATCCCAGGGCCCTGGGATCAAGCCCCGCATCGGGCTCACTGCTCAGCGGAGAGCCTGCTTCTCCCTCTCCCTCTGCCTGCCACTCTATCTATGCTCTCTATCTCTCTGTCAAATAAATAAATAAAATCCTTAAAAAAAAAATAAATAAATCAGTGGCCAGCAAGGAGGGACTGAAGGAGATCTGTCCCCACCCTCAGGCTACTGACTGGGGTACTGACTTGTCCACACACACTTAGCACTGGCAGTTAGCTTCTGCTACCATCTGCTCTTGACTAACTCAAACCCTCCAAGATGTAGGAGCCTCCACCTGCTCCTCCCTCCTCTGAAGGCCCGAATACCCAGATGACAGCAGTAAAGGGTGCCTTGGATGGGGGTGGGGTGGGGGTTGGGGTGGCCACAAGGGGGCCAAGTTCAGGTCCGCCTGCTCTTGGGCAGCTCAATTCCCCTCTCTCAGCCTCAGTTTCTTTAACTGAGAAATGGGACATCTCCAGAGTAATTTAGAAACTAAGTAAGAACAAACAGCAAGGTACTTCATAAAGCTGTGTAATAACATAAGAGGGCTCTGGACACAACCCACACCTACTATGTGCCCAGCAGTCACTCTGATCACTCTCCCCTGGGAGGAAATGGCATGGTGAGCCTTCCCATTTTACACCCAGGACAGCGATGCTCCGAGGTTATGTAACTTCAGATTACTGAGCCCTGGAGCTGGAACTGGAACTCAGGTCAAACTCCATCCACCTCCTATGCTCCTCACACACCCGCCTCCAATCGCCAGCTGCCAATGGTGTTCCAACAGCTCTACAGGGGGCACAATCCTTCCAGGCTGTTTCCAACCCTCCGACCTCAACCCCTGATTGGAGAGTGGGACAAAATGACAGGGGCCGCTGAGGCGGGTTCAGGAAGGCCGGGGCTGGGAGTCCGCCTGCAACCCCCTGAACCACAACGGGCCTCTGTTTTCTCATCTGTTAAAGGGGGGCCCTACTACTGCCCCTCAAGTGGTGGCAGTTTCAAGAATTACCAGACGTGGCCATGACAAAGCTCGCCTGGGCTCTTGCAGGGTGGGAACCGCCCTCGCATCTCTCCGGGGCCCCACCTGTCACCTGGAGACACCCCTTCTTCGCCCCTCTCCCCTAGGCGTGGAGGGGACAGCGCAGGTCGCCACCCCACCTCAGTTTCCCCGCCAGCCCCGCGCTCACCGGGGGTCCGGCTGCCATCGCTGAGCGGGTGCCACGGGTCGCGGTCGGTGGCCACGAGGAGGCAGTCGGGGTCGCGCAGGTGCGCGCACGCCTCGCTCAGCTTGGCGAAGGAGAAGTGCTCGTCGTAGCCCACGAGCACGGCGCGCACGCGCGGGGCCGCGCCCGGGTCCTCGCCGGGGTCCCCCGCCAGGCGCAGCCCCGCGGCGCGCAGCTCGGCGCGGAGCCCCTCGCCGCCCAGCACGAACACGGTGCCCGGCGCGCCCGGCGGCCCCGACAGGCGCTGGCGTAGCAAGCGCGCGGCGCACAGCGCGGAGCTGAAGACCTGCTCGGCGCGCAGCCCCCCGAAGCCGAGGCGCGCGAAGCGGAGAGCCAGCTCGGGCCGCGCGCGCCGGCTGTTGTTGCTCACGAACAGCGCCGCCTTGCCGGCCCGCGCCAGCCGCTCCAACAGCTCAGGGGCGCCCGGCACGGCGCGCTCGCCGTTCCACAGCACCCCGTCGCAGTCGAACAGGATGCCCTGCGTCCGGCCCAGCACGTCGCGCAGGGCCGCGCCGCGCAGCCGCTCGCAGCGCGCCATGCAGCCGGCTGGCCCCCCGCACCCCCGCGCCGCGCCGCGCCGCTCTCCCTCTGCGTGCACGGCGCGCTTGCCCTCAGCCCGCCCCGTTCCCCGCAGCGACCAATCGGCGCGCCGGAAGGGCCACGGGGCGGGGCCACGGCCTGGTCCGCGGGCCAATGGGGGCAAGAAGAGAGGAGAGGAGCGAGGCCTCTACCTAACGGAGCGGGGAGAAAAGGGTAAATCTCGGCCGCCGCTGAGGGGAAACCAATGAAGACCTAGCCTTCGCCCCGCCCACTAGCTCTGCTAGGCCAGTCGCCGCCGAGTTTCAACCCCGACTAGCCAATTAAAGGATGGACTGACGTTCTTCTTGGCCAATGAAGAGTTACGAATAGAAAATCTGGGGCGATTAGCCTCCCTTGCGTTCCCCAGCCAATCGGAAGCTTAGGAGAGCTGGTTGCTAGGAGGAAATCAGATGCTAAGGGAGATGTTGCCTTTGGGTCAAATCTCATTGCCCTCTGAACCCTGGACGCTCCAGTACTGAGCAAAGTCCCGAGAAGCGTGCCAGTATGATGATGGGAGAGAGGCACATACTGTCTTCTCGAGCGCGGGGGTCCCTGGCCCAGACCAGTCGTTCTCCACGCTGGCTGGTAGAGTCCCCTGGGGAACTTATATTTTGAGATTTAATTTACATACAAGTAAGATGAGCAGATCTTAAATGTACGGCTCGATGACTTTGACAAACGCTTTTTAAAAATACCAAAGCGTGGCTGCACCCCAGAGATTCTGATTTAATTGTTTTGGCTGGGGCCGAGATATTTTCGGTTTTTGTTTTTAAGTACCCAAGGCCAGGGTGGAGAGGCACTGGGTGGCCAAGCTGCTAGAGGCAGCCAGTCACTAAGCCCCCTGGGGACTGAAGGAGCCAGAGCAGTAGCCAGTTGCCCAGGGCAGCGATTGGGGTGACTTGGCTGCCTCGGTCCCCACCTGGGGAGACATGTGTCACAATTCCAAGTCGTCAGCCAACTTCTGAGAAGGCGCTGAAGACCTGACCTCCAGGAGCAACCAGAGCTCCGAAGACCTGGGGAAAGCCACCCTACTCTGTCCCCCCTCTCTGAGGCTCAAATAATTCCTGTTCCCCACTGCTCTGGCCTTTTGCTCCTGTCTCAGGTAGTCTCCTTAGCTTGGAATGTTCTTCCTTCTTCCCTGACTTTTTCACCTCGTCAACTCCTAAAAGCCTCTTTGAATCACCTCTTCCACGAAGCCTTCCTGTGCCCTCCACACACAGTCTGGGTTAGCTTGTCAGCCCCTAACTGGCTTGACATGGGTTCCCAGTGCCATTACACTTGATTCTCATTGTCAGCTCTCCTGCCTGTCTGTTCCCAGGAGCTCCTTGAGTGTAGGGCTGAGCTGGGGGCCTGGCCCAGGGTCCAGCACAGACCAGCCACTGGGGTTTGCCGACGGATCCAGCCCTGCAACTTGAGTAGCCTTTCCTGCCTACTCTGAGAACACCAGGAGTTGGGGGAGCTGACATCCACAGCGGCCAACTCTTAGAGGGCGCCTCTGTGTACAAGGGTGGTGCTTTGGTCTTTACAGGAATGTCTCATGTAATCCTCAGAACACTTCTGGAGTGGAGATGGCTGTACCGTTTCCCCGATGAAGGAAACTGGAGCACTAAGAAGTGAGTTGCTCAGGCTGTGAGGGACAGGCCCAGGCTCTGGAATCAGCGAGAGCCGGGTCCTGATTCCATGTCCACGCCTCACTTGCTGTGTGCCTGGCAGGTCGCTTTCTGAGCCTCAGTCTCTCCTCAACCAGTCAAAGGTAATGGGACTTACTTCCCCGGGAGAGGATTCTATGGAAACCATGCATGGAAAAGCAAAGTGGAGAGCGCAGAGTTAAGTGCTGAAAATGCTGGCCCTTTTTCTTTCAGACAGGAAGAAAGGAAGGAGGCAAAGAAGAGGGAATATCTTCCCTTTCATGCAAGTGGCTTCTTTATTTTGAGGGCAGAAAGAAAAAACCCAACTATAATTGGGGCAGCTGCTCTAGTTTTGTCCAAAATAATTTATTTACCAGCCTTACAAAACAATCTGTTGGCAAGAGAAAAATAACAGTCCTGTAGGAGCAGGCAAGCCCCTCCTTCCTTCCGGTGGCTCCCCGGGGACCCTGCCAGAGAGCTGCGAGTTGGGTGAGGGGTTCCCAAGCCCAGGGCGGCTGCAGAGGGAAAGGTCTGGAGGTGGAGGACTGTCCTGAGTCCTCTTTGCCATGGGGGCCGACCCAGCGGGCACCGAGGCACTTGTAGGCAAAAGCTGGAGGCCCCCACCCCGGGGATGGGTGAGGGCTGTGTCCTGGGCGGACAGGTGGGAGGGAGGAGATGCTGAGGGGCTGTTGTAGAGGGGCAGCCCGCTCAGTCGGTCTCCGAGGCAAGGCTCCTGGGCCGGGGTTGAGGGGGGATGGCTGGGGGAGTGGAGGCCCCGCCCACAGCCTCAGGGGCCCCTCCCTCCTCTGGGGCCGCCCCCAGGTCCACCTGCGCAGGAATGCTCAGAGCAGGGCTGGGGGAGGCCGGCCCTGGGGAGGCGGGGCTGGGGGAGGCTGGCGAACGCCGGCTCTGGCGCCGGGCGGGCTGGGGAGGATTGGGGGGCAATGGGGGTGGCACTGTAGGGGCCCGGAGGTTGCTGCCAACCAGACGGCGGGGCAGAGCCTGGGGGATCACAGGGCTGCTAGAGCCAGGGGGCAGGAGTGGGCCTGGAGGGGAGGAGCGCGTGCTGGAGACCTGGGGGGGCGGCATGGTGGGCCGGGCTGGCGCTGGGCGCTTGGCTGTGGAGGAAGGACGGGGCAGTTAGGCATCCACCTCAGGACCTTTGTATCTGCCCTTCCTTCTGCCAGGAATACTGTTTCCACGGTTGGCTCCCCATCACTTAGGCTTCTCTCCATGGGCCTCACCCCCTCAGCTAGAGTGCCCCTTCCCCTGCCCTGCTCTAGGCACTGTCATATTTTCCTGTTGTATCTTCTTCACAGGACTTTCTGCCCTCCGAAAGGAGCATGTCCGTTTTTATTTTGCTTGACTCCCTGATGAGAAAGTAAACGAAGTGAGGCCATCCTATGTGAGGTTGCCCTAGCACAGTGTTGGGGGCACGGAGTGGGTGTTCAATATGTATTTGTTGAACAAAGAAATGCTAGCTGTCCCCCCTGACTCTGGGGTCTTGCTCACCTCTCAGGAGCCCACCAGAAGCCCCCCACCCTACTTTTCAGAGATCCCACTGCACATTCCAACCTCATGAGGCGGCTGAGGGGCCAGGAGGCCTGACTCTGGTCCTAGCCTCGCCTCCACCCACTGTGGGTTTTGGGCAAATCACATGCCCCCTGGGGCCTCAGCTTCCTCATCGGGGAGATGGGATGCAAGCCTGGACCTCCCAGGGCTGGCACGAGGACCTTCGGGCACTTGAGGTGCTATGCTCCAGTGAGCACATATCCCTAGATGCCCCATCCTGCAGGAAGGTCCCTCTGTGATTTGTCAGCTGTACTCCCCACGTAGAAAACTCCAGTGCCTCTTGGGCTGGTTGGGCCCTCCCAAGTGTCCTGGGTCCTAGTGGGGACTCCCCATCTGAACCCTGGGCCTTCTCACCTGCTTGGCTTTAGGCCAAGTCAACAGGTACGTGCACCAAAGGGGCGCAGGGGAGCCTCAAATTTCTTCTCACCACCACCACCTCCCCCTCTCGTTGCCCTTTGAAGCCTCCATCCCACCTTCCCTCCTCTTCACTCCGCTCTCTGGACTTCTGGAGGGGTGGGCTCCACAGCCCCCCACCCCCCGTGATGCCTGAGCTCCATCGAGCATGTACCGTGTGCCAGGTGTGAGTCAGGCGGCACCATTTAACAAACAGCCCTACAGAGCAGGTGTGGTTATTGCTCCATGACGCAGAGGAGGAGGGGCGGACACGGTGCAGTCACCTGCCCAAGGTCACAGATCTGGAATCTGAACCCAGAGTGTCAGGCAGCAAACCTGTGCTCTTGGCCACCTGGATTTCTGGCCTCGCCAGCTATCTGAAAACATGGGCCCTCTCCCTGCACACCTTCTTCCCCCTTCTCTCTCCCCACCGCCAACTTACTTCTCCGAGCCATGTCCTCCGCTGGAGTGGCTGCCTCCGAGGGACTCCCACTGACCTTGGGGGAGCCTGGTCTGGGGGACGCCTCGGACTCTGCCCTGTGAAGGAAAGAGAGGGTCAGGGTCAGGCTTGGCCGCCTCTCAGGAGTCTCCTGGAATCTTGGAGAGACTCCCAGCCAATAGGCCGAGTTTGGGTTCTCCCAGGACTTGTCCCCCGCCACCTTGTGGCGGGTCCTGGGATCTGTCCCCAGGCTGCCCCCCTCTCCCCAGAAGATGCTTCTGGCATTGGCCAGGGTTTGTGTCTCCACTGAACCCCTGGCTTCCGTGTGACCCTGCGAGAGGGTCCGTGGATTCCTGTGGGCCAGGAAGGCAGGTAGAAAGCAGGGCCTGGGCTTTTAACGTCCATCTGAACCTCACTGGATTTTCTGGCCACTAGAAGCCTGACAGTGGATGAGAAGCTGAAGTGGGGGTGGGCATGGCTCATTCCTGGTTTCCTCCAGCTCTTTGCTCAGTTGGCGCCTCCTTAGGGATCCCCATGCTAAAGCAGCTGCCCAGCCCAGCCCCCTAACCTGCTCTCTCCTCTCCTATGAGGGCACGAGTCACTTCCCGGCACGACAGTATCCATCTGTTGGCGTGCTTGGTGACTACCCGCCCCCACCCCCGCCCCGGGAAAGCAAGCGCTGAGGGCCACGTCTGTCTGTCTTGCTCATCTGAGGAAAGTCTGGGGTTGGGCCCCGGCTGCGTGAAAGCAAGCTATGAATGCTTGGTACGGAGCCATGGTACCTCCATGGCACATGGAGCCTTCCAGATTGAAGGGATCAAAGAGAAGACTGGAAGGTATTTACAAATTCCAGCTGACCAGCCCCCTCCTTCCCTGAGTCCCCAGGGCCTCAAACAGTGCCGGGCACACAGCAGGTGCTCAGTGAACAGCCACATAATGAACAAGGGAGCACATCAGAGGCTGAGAGGAATATCGCTTCTGAGTCTCCACCCCAGCCCCTCCAAATGGGGAAACCCGGTATTTGGGATGAAAATACAATCATCAGGGGCACCTGGGTGGCTGAGTTGTTAAGCGTCTGCCTTCGGCTCAGGTCATGATCCCAGGGTCCTGGGATCGAGCCCCAAGTCAGGCTCCCTGCTCAGCGGGAAGCCTGCTTCTCCCTCTCCCACTCCCCCTGCTCATGTTCCCTCTCTCGCTGTCTCTCTCTCTCTCTGTCAAATAAATACATAAAATCTTAAAAAAAAAAAAGAAAATACAGTAATCGAATTTCCTAAAATCCTACCGGAAGCCGTGAGATGGTGCCTCAGGCTGACGTCTTGGGGCAAAGAGGGGGGTCAGTCATATCCGTCAGTCCTTACCTTTCCTTGGTAGCTGCTGAGGCCGGGGCTGGAGCTGAGGCGGCCACAGCAATCGCTGGAAGCTCCTCAGCAGCTGGCCTGTTGCTGACCTTGTCCTGGGGGCCAGGGGCTGAGAACAGGCCTGACACGTTGAAATTGACGTCTGCAGACAGAAGGAAGCAGGTCTTAACTTCCAGAACCTCTGCCAATGTCAGGACCACTTTCCCTTTCCCCTGACATCCCGCTCCCACATGAGCCTCACAACTATCCTACAAGGTAGGCAGGATCATCCCCATTTTACAGATGAGACACTGAGGCTCAGAACAGAGAAGCAATGTGCTCCAGGTCTCGTAGTGAGTTCGTGGGGCTGGCAGGGACTGAAGCTGAGTCTGGAGGGCACTGACTTGGGCAGATGAGGGCGCAAAGAGACATGTTCACAAAGGCAGGCACTTCGGGATGCCTAGGTGGTTCAGTCGGTTAAGCATCCATCTTCGGCTCAGGTCGTGATCCTGGGGTCCTGGGATCGAGCCCCGCATTGGGCTCCCTGCTCAGCGGGGAGTCTGCTTCTCCCTCTGCCTCTGCCCCTCCACCCCTGCTCTGCTTGCGCTCATGCTCTCTCTCATGCTCTCTCTCTCTCAAATAAATAAATAAAACCTTAGAAAAAACCCCACAACAACCCAACAAAAAACAAAGGCAGGAGCTTTACCTCCAGGGAAGAGGGTGTCGGCGTTCTGTATCAGAGCCTCAACCACGCCTACTACCTGGATGGAGGACACTGAGGCTGCATCCAGCTGGGCCTGGTCCCTAGGGGAAAAGGGAACAGAAATGAGCTGCCCATTTCCTAAAGTCTTTGTGACCCCAACTCTCTTTTCAGCCCAATCGCATCAAGTGCCTTTTCTCAGAAAGCTCACAGACAGGGGCCTGGGTGGCTACGCTGGTTAAGCATCTGCCTTTGGCTCAGGTCATGATCCCGGGGTCCTGGGATGGAGCCCCGAGTCAGGCTTTCTGTTCACTGGGAAGTCTGCTTGTTCCTCTCCCTCTGCCCCTCCCCCTCCCCTGCTAGTGCTCTCTCACTTTCAAATAAATAAATAAAATCTTAAAAAAAAATAAAGCTCACAGACCACCAGTGGATGGCCAGTGTGTTGCTCACATGCCCAATGTTCCCCCTCCTTCACCCACGACAGGGCATCACTAGGCAAGATGGTTCCCTTTTCCTCACAGTTCTTGGATCTAGGGAGCCTCTACGGAGTAATCGTCCTCAGCAAATGAATGAAATCTTTTTGCCATCTGTGGCCGAGTGCATTATAATGACCCCTCCCATACCACACACAGCACTTTGCAGCTTATAAACCATTTCTCCATTCATTATCTCATCTGGTTCCCAAAGCAAAAAGCCTCAAAGTTTGTATAATTTCTCTCCAATTTACAGGTGAAGAAATGGAGGTCCAGAGAGCGACTTCCGAAGGCATTTCTGAAAGGGCGAGGGGGTGAGGCTAGAACCAGATCTCTGGACTCCCAGCCCTCCAAGCACCCCACTACCACTCTCACCCAGGACGCCTAGCTCCAAAACCCTGTGGGGTCCATGTTCCCTTTGGGCTGCTCCTCACGGCAAGCCTTGAGACTAGGAGCTGCTCAACCCACTGCAAGGATGGGGAGGCTGAGGCCCAGGGGTAAAATAAGCAGCAGACAGTTGGGGTGGAGACTGCCCCCTTCCTCAGGCTGCAGCCCCTCACCCTTCTTTCTCGGGGGGCCACAGCAGGTTGGGCCCCAGGACGATGGCGATGTTGCTGGGCGTCATCTTATTCACCTCCTGCTCCTCAGCCAGCCGTGCCAGGAACTTCATCAGGTACCTGGGGAGGCAGAAGATGGGCTTGGTCAAGGACAGGGCCATGAACACCCACTGATGCCCCTGAGGTCTGGGAATTTCTCAGCCTGGGGTTTCCCAAGAGTGGCAAACGTCCCCCTCAGGATGCTTTAAACTTTTTTTTTTTTTAATTTTGTTTATTTATTTGGCAGAGAACGAGAGCGAGAGCGAGAGCGAGAGCGAGCGAGTGAGCACAAGCAGGGGAAGTGGCCGGCAGAGGGAGAAGCAGGACTCCTGAGCAAGGAGCCTGATGTAGGACTCGATCCCAGGACCCCGGGATCATGACCTGAGCCGAAGGCAGACACTTAACGACTGAGCCACCCAGGCATCCCTAAAATTTTTTAATAGTTAAATGAGCTGACCTGCTGAGTGCCACGTGTGTGTCAGGCACTGAGCTAAGCTGAGACTCTCCCTCCCTGCCCTGCGGGGTAGGGACTGATGTGCTCTGTTCCCCAGTGAGGGCACTGTGGCACAGAGAGGTCAGATCACCTGCCCAGGGCCACACAGCGGCAGAGGTGGGACTTTCAAACCAGGTGGCTTGGCTTCAAAGTTTCTAGGTGTGTGTTTAGCTCAATGTCTAGTATGAAAAACATGACTAGCACATCTTAGTCATGGTTGGTGTGGTTTCGGAAATCTTGCCTACAACAAGGGGGCGGGCTCAGGCTCACCTGAGGTTGCTGAGGTTCTCCTGGGGCAGGCGGCTGCACACCTGTTGGAGGGCCTCCAGCCGGGCCCCTGGCTCCTTCAGGCTGGGGAGGGGGAGAGACCTGGTGAGCCAGTCCAGGGCCCCAGGGTCCCAGCCCTGCAGCCCCGCCCTCCCCAGCACCCCCCACCTCACCTGGCTGCCCTCATCCAATCGTCATAGAGGTCAAAGGTCATCAGGGGCTCTGGCAGCTCCCGCAGATAGGACTTGAGGGCACCTGAAGTGGTGGCAGGGGTCTCGGACACAGTCCCTGAAGCTCCCACCTCCACCCCGGTGCCCAGCGCTGTCTGTCTGTTAGGAACCAGGCCCTTGTTCATACTAACATGACCAGGTCTGATCATTTCTTTGGGCCCTGGGCCTTTTGAAGAAAATGATGATGTCTAGCAGACTTGTTCCCAGGAAAATGTACTTGCACCGCAGGGGGTTCACCACAGACCCCCCCTTTACAGACCCCTATGTCTCCCGAGGTGTCGATTACCAGGCCTTCAAGCCAAACTATCATGGGAGCGTTTCACGCAGCTGCAGGGAAGGGATTCGCGGGGGAAGGCCCTCCTCCCGGGGCTCCTGGGAGCAGGCACCTGCCACGGCATGGGGGTCGGAGCAGAACTCCTGCAGGCTGCGGGGGTCCGAGGCCATGGTCTGCTTGAGGCGCTTCAGCACCGAGGCTCCGGCCGCCAGACGGAAGAGGCCCTGGGGTGCGAGAGGAAATGGGCAGGGGGGTCACGGAAGGGTGGCAGGGGAGGAGGTCCTGGCTAGGAGGCCCTGGCTCGCTCGGGGTGGGAGCCTGGCTCTCACGGGGCCCGGGGCCCCACCAGTCGGATGGGCAGTGTGGGGGCCATGGTATGCACGGCTGCCCTCACTCTCCAGGCCTGGGATTTGGCACAAAGTGGGGAGTCTGGGAGGAGCTGGGAAAGTGGTGGGGAGACCGGTGTCCGGTTAGGAGTGGGAGGGAGAGAGGAGGCCCGGAGGCGCTGAGAGGAAGCCCAAGTGGGTCTTCGAGTAGGTTCCACCTCCTAAGGGTCTGTCCTCAGGAAAGGAGCTGATGGACTAGCGACAACCTGGTGCACCGGACGGATGCGGGCTGCCTGCAGCAGGGACCGCACGGGGGTCCCAGGCTTTACTGCCACCCTCTCGTGTGCCTCTGGGCACGTTTTCCTTGTGGCCTCAGTCTCTCCCCTTGTAAAAGGGAGCCGGTGAAGGCTCCCTGCCAGGGCTTCTGGGATTACTAAATGGATCAAGAAGCGTAAAGGCTTTACAGCACCATGGCTGCTTCACGAGCATCCCTAAGTGGGAGCTGGTGTCCGTTTGGCAACAGGAGGCCGTGGCCTCTAATGGTGGGGCCTGGGCTCTAAGGGTGGGATGACAGCACCAGCACGGGGCAGCCGGCGGGAGCTGTGGGCAGAGGGAGGGCCCCAGGGCTCCTGCCCGCCCCGCCCCCGTGGGCCCCACCTCTTCCTTCATGCCCTCAGAAAGCAGCATCGTGACGCAGGCCTCAATGGGCAGGGCGATGTCCCGGCCCAGGTCTTGCAGGTGGGTTGCCAGTGACACCCCATACACCCCGAAGAAGGGGGTGGCCGTCATCGAGGGGGAGGGGTCTGCAGGGACGAGACAGATCAGCGGCCCAGGGTCCTCCCCTCCCTGGCAACCAGGCCAGGGCACCCCCAGACATCCGCGAGGGCTACTGCTTTGGCCAACGGTACCACCTCCCACCCAGCCATCCGTGCCACATACCCTGAAATTGCCCAACATCTCTCTCGAATCCACCCACCTCCACCGTTTCCACCCCAGTGCAGGCCACCGTCCCCTCCCTTCTGCTTCCTGAAGGTCTCCTGACTCCTGTCCTGCCCCTTCACTCCATCCTCTACCCAGCAGATGACCTCTCTATCGCAAATCTAATCAGAACTAATCTGCTCAGAAATCATCCATGGCTCCCTAGGGCCTTTCAGGATGGAGTGCAAGCTTCTTAACATGTCCGGAGCAGGGCTGGGGTCGGGGGTACAGGGCCAGGCCCTGCCTCTGTCCCCACCTGCTTGGCTGTGGTTCTCCCTCAACTCAGCCAGGGCTGTGTCCAGCGAGCTCAGAGACTTGCGATGGTAGTCAGCTTGAATCTCCATGAGCTGTGGAGACAAGCGGGCACCCCCAGGGGGAGTGAGGGATGCTGCACCTCCCCGGAGTCCATAAGAACACGCCCCTCCCTCCCACATCTGGAAAGGTGTCCCAGGGCCCCTGGTGTCCACCCCTGAGTCCCAGGGGCTGGAGCCCAGTCTTAGGACTCACGTGGATGAAGTAGTTGGCATATGTGTCCTCCTTGGTGGCAAAGTGGTATAGATCGGCCAAGTACTCGTCCTTGGAGACAGAAAGGGGAGGGCTCACACCAGTGAGGCTGGGGCCCAGCGGGGAAACTGAGACCCAGGGTTAGTGACTTGTCCAAGCTCCACGTGGAGAGCCCCGGTCAGTTCTCCTCTCTCTGGCACGGTTTGCACTTGGACACGGCCCGCAGGAACCCCTTGGAACTCCTGAGGGGCTTTCTACAGCTTCTAGACCTCATCTCTGCACCTCACACCCTTAGCACAGCGGCTCATGTCATTTACTATTCATTCCTCGACTCACCCAGCAACCCCGCCAAGACCGCGGCCAACAGACCAGGCCCCTGCCTCCCAGGAATTATGTGTGGTGTAGACAGAAGAGGCTACGAGCTCGGAGGCTCACTGCCTGGACTCAAATCCTGGCTCTGCCGCTTCCTGGCCGTGTGGCGTTGGGTGAGGCACATCACGCCTCCGAGTTTCAGCTTCCCCTCCTTGAAATGGGGACAGGACCCGCCCTTGGCGCCCTCCTCCCACCCAGGGAACTCCAAGTGCCTGCTCACCTTGCACTGCTCCACCTTCCTCTTTAGCTCCTCCTCCTCCTCCTTCAGCGTCTCCACCTTGGTGGCGGTGGCCGTATGGCTGTAACCGCCGGCACCACCGCCCAGGCCCTGACCGCAGCCTGAGTTCTTAGCTGCCTGAGTGAGCCTGCCAACGATCCCAAGGTGGGGCGGTCAGTGTCCCCCCACTGCCTGTCCAGAGCCAAGTGTCCCCTCCGTATGCCTGACCACCCAGGATTCTGGGATTTATGTTTGAACATCCCAGAACCCCACTTGCCCGGGGCCTCAGCTAGGCGGGGGGGGGGGGGGGGGGGGGGGGGGGAATGAGTGCTCAGGGCCTCCCCCTGGTGGTAGGCTTGGTGATCACAGCCAGGCAAGGGGTGGGGGTGGGACCCTCCTGCTGTCCAGGGATCTTGGAGGATCATTTCTGGCTCTCTTAGGCTTTGGGGTCACCCTCAGCTGGCATGAGCACGTGCACACACTATACCCAGTGGGCCCTGCCACACCCTCCGAGTGTGGGTTCTGCGGCCACCTCTGTGGGCTGACCTAGGCGTGGGCCCCACCCAGGGGCTCTGGCTCCCACCTGCTCTTTAGGGTGTTCCAGTCGGACACCAGCTTCTGCAGGCTCTTCTTGTGCTTGAGGATGGCGGGCAGGTCCTCCTGGGGGTGGACACGGGGAGGGAGGGGGTCAGTGGGCTGAGGAGGTAGGAGCGGAGGCTAGGGATGCTGGCGAGGGGCGGGGCTGGGGGCAGTGGGGAGGGTCACCTCACTCAGCCTGCTGAGCGGCTGCAGCACATCCCTCTCCAGAGTCATCTCAAACTCGGCCAGAATGCGGGCCAGCTGGTTCTGAATGGCGCAGCTCATCTCTAAGGCCTTCCTGTGGACACAGCACCGGTGGGCCCAGCCCCCACAGCAACTCACCCCCATCTGGAAACACTTGCTGGGGCCTCCTCCCTCCCCATCACCCCCTGCCCCTTCTATCTCTCCTTCATCTTCTCTCAGTCAAACACCCTCCCAGGCCTGGCCGCACCCCCGACCTGGACACTGACCCCCCCCCCGCCCCCCAGCACAGCCACTACCCTCAGCCTGGTCATCCTTCCACAGGCGATGCCCTTCCTCGCCCGGACCCCCCTCCCAGCCCAGATTCCGCACCCCCCCCCCCCGGCATCTCTGGGTGAGGGCTTGGGCCAGGTCTGTGCTCACCCCATGCTGGAATCGGGGTCCAGCTCCTTGAAGCTCTCGGCCATCGTGGTGGACAGAGCCATGAGGGGAAGCTTCTTCTGCAGGAAGGCCAGGGTCTGGCTGTGAGCATGTGCTCACCTGCCCGGTCACCCTCCACCCCACCCAAGCACACAGAGAGCTCCTTGGGGACAGAGCCCCATTGAGGCACTCGGTATGGACAGGGGAGGAGGGAAGCCTGGAGCGCCACAGTCTTAGGTGGGAGTGGAAACAGGAGGCAGAGCGGCATCTCCCTGTGACCATGTCCCCCCACCCCACTCCATCTGGGGTGCCCTTTTCCCCGACCAAGTACCCTCACACACCAGAAAACTAAGAACAGGGGGCATGGAGCTGGCCCAAGGTCACAGAGTTGGAAGGAGAATGGAGGTGGGGGGGGGGCTCTTCCCCTGCCCCAGGGCATCGGTGGCTCACACTTAGTCACAGCTGAGCTCAAAACCCTCCCACCTAGAGTTAGGAAGAGCACCAGCTTGAGTCCAAAAGACCAGGGATCAAATCTGTTTTGCCACTTACTAGCTGTGTGATCTTAAGACTTTACCTCTGTGGGTTCATTTCGTCATCTGTACAAAGTGCTAATGAAGGCAGCCTCCTCCTAGGGGTGTCGTCAGCGCGAAGGGAGGCAACGCGTTAACAGAGCTTAACACGACTGCCTTCGGCTCAGGTCATGATCCTGGAGTCCAGGGATCGAGTCCCGCATCGGGCTCCCTGCTTGGCGGGGAGTCTGCTTCTCCCTCTCACCCTCCCCACTCTCATTTGCTCTCTCTCATTCTCTCTCTCTCTCAAATAAATAAATAAAATCTTTAAAACAACAACAACAACAAAAAACAACAAAAAAACAGAGCTTAACAACAGGGGCGCCTGGGTGGCTCAGCTGGTTAAGTGACTGCCTTCGGCTCAGGTCGTGATCCTGGGGTCCCAGGATTGAGCCCCACATTGGGCTCTCTGCTCAGCAGGGAGTCTGCTTCTCCCTCTGACCCTCCCCCCCTCTCATGCTCTCTCTCTCTCTCATTCTCTCTCTCTCCCACATAAATAAAGTCTTAAAAAAAAAAAACAGAGCTTAACAACAGACTAGCAGTCATCAGTTACAAATGCTCGCTGTTGATTAATACCAGTGAGTATTAATATCAGCTCAAATGCCTCTTCCTTCAGGAAGCCCTCATGGCACACTGCTTCCATTCAGAGGGCCTGCTCTGCTCTGCTCTGGGGGCTGTGAGAAGTTCAGGTGCTGTCAGAGGCCTGGCCTTGGCTCAGGGGATGGGTGCAGAGGGGGCCAGGGTCAAGGAGGGGTGGGGAAGAAATAGAGCCTCATCAGTGGGGTCTTGAGACAGCGCAGGCTCTGCCCCCTTGGTGTGCCAGAGGCTCGGACTAGCAGGGAGACCACTGGGCAGAGGTGTCCTGCCTGGGCCCCAACTCCCTGGGACCCCCACTCACCACCCGCTTGTCCATGTCCGCCCCACTCTGGCCCTGCAGACAGGCCTGCAGCCGTTTGTGGACATTGTGGGCTGCTCGCTTGGCCGGCTCCAACCGCTGCTCCACCTGGGGGGGGAGCTCAGTTTATGGATCACGGGAGGTTGTTGTCCCCCACCCCCCTCTGCCCTGTTCTTTCCCAGAGCAGGAACCACCGTTCTCTTCCCTCCTCCTGGAGACCCCACGGCCAACAGCTTGGGGAATGACTCAACCCAGCCCCCCAAATGGCGTCCTGGCCCGGCCCTCTGCTGACAGCTTGCGCAGGCCTGCCTTGCCACCCGCTGCCGGCCCAGGCATGTACCTGCTGCAGGTCCTCCCCCAGGAACTCGGCAGTCTCCGGGGTGCTGTGGGGGAGGGAGGAGCTTCTGCTGAGGCGGCCCAGGTTAGGAAACCCCCTGCCTCCCCCTGCCCCTTCAACAGGGCACCTGGACCCCAGTGGCTTCCAGGGCCCCTCCTCGTTGGGGCCCGCCCTGGGTGGCCGGCCTGCCTGCCTCATCCCAGTCGGAGCACATTCCGTGGGGGCGGGAATAGGATACATGGCTTTTTCCTCCTCCACCCAGGGCTGTGTCCTGAGAGAGAGAGGATGAAACCCAAGGCGGTGGGGTTGGGGAGCCACCTCAGCCTCTCTGGTGTTGACCCTGGGGAGAGGAGGCTGGGCTGGCCCCAAGAACGGGAAGTGTGCGGGCTCAGACTCCTGGGCTGATGGTCAGTCACACAGGACTCTGGCCGGGAGGGCTGTGCAGGCCCTGCCCGGGGACACATGGGGACACTGAGGCCTAGAGCAAGGGGGCCTGACTGCCCTGACTCTAGTCTCCCACCGCACCGATGTCTATGTGAGCCTGGACACTCAGTCCCCTCCCCTGGGCCCAGAGAATGGGAAACTCCCAACACAGGGGGAAGAGGAGAGAAGAGCGGCCCTGGGAGCTCCCCAAACTTCTGGCCTCCACTCTCATCGGCTCAGGGGCCCTGGGGGTGAGAACAGAGAGACCCGGGGATGTTTCCACCTGAAGCTGGGAAAAGCAGAAGCAAGATAGAGAAGCTGGAGGCCTCTGGGCTGGGGGTGGGGTGGGGGGAGAGGCACAAAGCAAGACAAGGCAGGCCCCTCCTCCCACCACACCGGGACCTAGTCTCCTCCCCTCCCCCAAGGTCTGGGGCCCTGATCGCCCCCCCCCCCCACTCCAGGCAACCCTAATGACTAGCTGTCCCCATTGTACAGAGGGGACAAGTGAGGCCAGGGAGGACCGTTCGCTCAAGAGGCTCATGGAGGCCGAGAAGACCCAGCATCCTTGATCCTCCCTGCACGCAAAGGGGTGGGGGTGCCCCCTTCTCCAAAGGGCCTTGCCCCTCCTGCTCTGGCCGGGAGGTGGGGGTGGCATTCAGAGGCGGGGGGAGAGAAAGCAGGCCTCTGGCCAGTCAGAGGGTGGCTGTCCGGCCGTCCCAAGCCTCCCCCACCCCTCCAAGTCCTCTAGGGTCCGGCGGGGGCGAGCGTGGGGCTGGGAGGGAGCGGGTTGACACTCACCGTCCCAAGCTGCCCGTCTGGGCCAGCTGCCGCATGCGATGCAGCTGCCTCTTCATCATCTTGGGCGCGGGCTGGGGGCTGCGGGGTCACGGTGGGGGGCGAGGGCCCGGCAGCCCCCGGCCCAGCCTGCCTGCGCCCGCAGCGCCGCTCTCGCCCCGGATGGGTGGGCGGCGCTCTCCGCTTCCTGGGCCAGCCGCGCTCCGGCGGCCGCTCGCTCCCTCCTCCTCCGCGCGCGACTCCGCCCCCGGCCCCCAGGTCACTCCTCTCTCCAAGTTTGTTTTCTCGCTCGCCCCCGGCTTCCGGGCCCCCCGCAGGCCCCCGGCCGGTCCCCGCGACGGTCGGGCCGGCGACCGCCTGGCCGTCCACAGGTTGTGTGGCAGCCCCGCCCCCGGCCCCGCCCCACCCGGGTGGCGGGAAGCAGGTAAGCCGGGTCCTGCCACCGCGCGGCCGGACTCTGGGCTCCGCCCCTCCCGCCGGCCCGTGGGCCCTGGGTTTCAAGAACTCCTGCACCCCTCTTAAAGGCAAAGAGGGTTCCATGCTTGGGACGCAGAGGCCAAGGACAGGCCCCTCCAGCCCGTACTGGCCCATCTAGGCCTGCCAAAGGATGCTGCCCTGGACTCCCTCTCCAAAGGACCTCCTGGCCACCTTGAGCTAAAGATTGCCCCTGCCTGCTCCCCTGCTGGAGACTGGCTGGGGACTTTGGCTTCCTGGGGTCACCTTGCTGCTTTGTGTCCTTGGACAAGTCCCTGGAACTCTGGACTTGCTGCCCGTCCCTGAGAGTGCACAAGATAACCCTGCCTATTCTGGTTGTCCCTTTGGGGGGGGGGTGCCCCACCCTCCAGAGCAGCTCCCTGACACCCGGCTCCCTCCCAGCACCAGCACAGTTCCCTCCATCCGTTGGTAAAGCTCCTCCTTCCAGCAAACTTTTGGAGTCCTTGCCCTTCTTCTTCTTCTTTTAATTTTTAAAAAAGATTTTATTTATTTATTTGAGAGAGAGAGAATGAGAGAGAGCACATGAGAGGGGGGAGGCTCAGAGGGAGAAGCAGACTCCCCGCTGAGCAGGGAGCCCGATGTGGGACTCGATCCAGGGACTCCAGGATCATGACCTGAGCCGAAGGCAGTCGCTTAACCAACTGAGCCACCCAGGCGCCTGATAATTTATTCATTTAACAGAGAGAGAGATTGAGCACAAGTAAGCAGAGCACAGGCAGAGGGAGAGGGAGAAGCAGGCTCCCCACTGAGCAGAGAGCCCTATGCGGGGCTCAATCTCAGGACCCTGGGATCATGACCTGAGCCGAAGGCAGCCGCTTAACCATCTGAGCCACCCAGGTGCCCGCCCTTCTTCTTTTAAGGCAGTGATGTGGGTGCTGCTCTGATCCCCCAAACTCAGTAGTAGTTATTTCTTTGACCCTTCACCCAAAACACAGTTGGGCATACAGTAGGTGCTCCATAACTGTTAGTTAATACAAGATGAGGGACCACACATAGTAGGCTCTCCTTACTCTGAACCCCCGTATCCCCCAGGCATCAGGGGCCCCAGGGGTGGGGGGAGAGGGAGGGATATCCCTATGGTCCTGCCATGCCCCCTGTCCTTTACTTTCTTGGGGGTTTTAACTGAGTTTGAAGATTACTTGAGCACCTACTGTGTGTGGGTGGGCAGACTGAGTACTTCATGAGGGCAGGATCTTGGCCTCAGACAAGGGATTGGGCACACAGTGAGCGCTCACTGGATGCTCCTCCACTCCCCGGAAGGGAGAGCCAGACAGGCCCAGTGGAAGTGGGAAGGGAACCCTCCTCCAGCTGGGGCTGCTGAGTCAGAGCCTCCCAGCTGGGAGGCCACCTGAGCGTGGAATCCAGTGGATTGAAGGCTCAAGCTGGCATAAGGAGACCCCAGACAAGGTTCCCTAGCCCACCTCCCTTTTCCCAACTGGGAAGGCCCCTGGAGGGGATTCTAGAAAAAGGGCAGGCCTTGAGGAATGCCTTGATGGAAGGAGAAATCAGAGTCCAGTATAGACCTGGCTTCTTAAAAATATGGGGCTGGCGTTTGCAAGGTCTGGGTGCCAGTCCTGGCCTTTCCCCCTTCCTCACTGGCCAGATCCCAGAACATCATGGTGGCTCAAGTTTCCCCCATCTCTGCAATGGGCACAGCCTACTGTGTGCACAACTAGGAAGCCAAAGAGCCCTAAGCCAGCAGCTTGACACCAGGTGCCACTGCCTTGCCGTCTGGGAAATCTCTGGGTTACATGGTGTCCCCACCCTGTTTCAGCCCTGTCTCCAGCCTGGAACACACTGGGCCTGGGCTTGTCCACTTCCCCAGCTGCTCTGAAGGTCCCTGAGGGCAAGGTCTGGCTTCTACCTTTGTCCCCCCTAGGCTTGCCCAGGCCAGAGCCCCAGCTCAGAGGGGTCAGGATACCTGGGCCATAGCAGCAGCAGCTGGAAACCACCGGGACCATCTCATCAGCCCAGTGGAACTCTGGGCCTCTCACCCAGGCTCCCCTCCAGTCTGACCCAAGAGCTCTTCTCTGTCTGGCCTGGGTGGGGCTGCTGTGCCTCTTGGCTTGGGTGAGGGGTATATTTTAGGGTACATTTAAGCTTGAGCACACTTGGATGCTGAATCATAAAGGGTTGGAAGCCCCAAAGGTTGGATCATAGGCTGTTCCTTCGAAGGATGTTGTAATCAGAGACTTTTGGACTCTGAGGTTTTATCAGGGAATGTCGAGATTGCAGTTTTAGAACTGCAGTTGCAGGAGGGGGACTTCAGGGGTCACCGGCCAACACCATCTCCGATCACAAGGCCTTTCCACACTGCATTGGGAGGGCTCATTGACTTGGCTGGCTCTCCTCCGCCCGGGGCCGAACCCTGCATGGTCTAGCGATGTGCCACGGTCACAGGAGATCAAGAGACAGGGCTGACTTGAATGCAAGTGAAGGCATTGCATCAATGGACACTTATTTCCAACCCAGAGACAGGCAGAACAGAGCTTGAGTGTGTGTGGCTGAAGCTGGCCAGCTGGGCTCAGCCGCTAACTAGCTGGGTGACCTTGGGCCAGGGAGTTCACCTGTCTGAGTCTCAGTGTCCTGGGTAAAATGAGAAGAATGAGGGCAGGTCCCAACAGGTTGCTTTGAGAACTAAATGAGTTCCTACGTAAAATGCTTAGAACAGGCCCTGCTTCTTCTTATCCAGCCTGCACCGTCTGGCGTAAAAAGACCCTTGCCCCTATGCCTGCCTAGTTGCCCCCTCCATGGGTCCTGCTGCCTTCTTGGGACACTAGCCCGTTTTGTCACCTACTTTAGCACACCCCCCCAGTGAGCTTGGCATCATTATCCCCATTTTACAGGTGAATAGACCAAGGCTCCAGGCACCAGGCCACTCGCTGGTTAAGTGGTAGAAGCCAAGTTAGAAGGCAGACTTGACAGGCTCCCAAGCCCCCACGAGCTCTCCTGCTGTGCCAGCTGGCGCTTCCTGGAGGCTCCAGAATAGCTGCCCCCTCCTTCATCCCCATGGCTGCCTCCGGGAGCAAACCCGCGACAGTTTGGGAAGTGCCAGTGGGTGAAGCTCAAGCAGGATGAGCACAGGGAGGCCGGTGGCTGGCGTGGAGGTGGTGGGAGCAGGGGTCAGCTGTGGGGCCACAGCACTGAGCAAGAAGGTCGCACGGTAGACACCTGGACAAGTCGCTGGTTTGTGGTCCTATCAGTGCCCGGCTCTAAGTGGAGGCTGCTGTCCAGAGCAGCCAGGCATGCGGTGTGATTTCTGGGGCTCTGAGAACTTGCCTGCCTCCTCAAGCCAGAAGGACTTTCCCGGAAGGAAACCCTGGGAGGGGCCGAGGCCTGAGGACAGCCCCCGAGAGCCCGTGCCCTTAACCCTGGCTCCAGAGGACAGTGGCGCACGGAGGGCTCCGGAGACTGGGCGGGGGGGGTACACACATGCCACCAGAGGGACACCTCGCGGGACTGCTGGTTGGCCTGGCCCTGACCTGTGCCCTCAAGCACTTCACAGGCTCTTCGAGCCACCGAGCCTCCATTTCTCGTGGCCACAGGCAGTTCTGAGCACTGAGGGAGAAGGTGAGAGCAGCAGGCCGGCTCCGGTGTTCTCCGCCTGGGCAGGGACTGGGGGCAGGGCCAGCAGGATGGCAGCGGGGACAGGCTCTCGGGCCGGGTGGCAGCCCCTCCGTTGCTGGCGGCGGCCACAAACCGACGAGCAGCGTGCCGCGGTTGCCAAAAAAGAAACCCAAACGAGCTGCTGCCTCCAGCCGCATGCACAGAAGTGGAAGTGCAGCTTCAGGGTCTGGGAAGTCCCAGGGCTCCTGGGCTGGGGGTGGGAGTCACCCTTTGAGCGACCAGAGAACGCGCCTTCCCTGCTCCAGCCCAAGGGCTCCACAGCCTCTGGGTCTCCTGTGCACGGCTCAGTGCTCCGGACCTCTGACCGAACTGACACGCGTTACTTGGGGAAAGACTCCTCCCCAGAGTGGAGGCTGAGGGTCACCTCCCATCACCACCACCCCAGCCCCAGCCCCTCAGACAGATGCGGGACTCCACGGCGGGCCCCGCAGGTCCACCTCCCTTCCCGCCGTCCGAGCGACATGCCGAGCTCCTGGCTCACAGGTTCCATGCCAGCCTCTGAGCTGACCGAGGGGCCCTGCCTCCCAGGGGGGCTGCTCAGGGGCACCCGCAGGACAATAGACGGTTGGCCGGATTGACTAGGAAAAAGGGAAGGTGGGAGGTTGGGAAGATGACAGAGAGATCCCCGTCCCTGTCGAGGCTGGGTCACTCCAAGCCCACACCTTGGGGAACCAGTTCGTTCAAGGACTCTTCAGGCCTCAGAGGGGCCTTACAGCTCCCTGGGTCCCTCCCCACTACCAAAGGCCAGAGAAGGCAGCACCTCGCTCAAAGTCACACAGCGCGCCAGGGACCCCGCCGGGGGCAGACGAAGACTCCCTGCCCGAAGCTGCACACACTTGCACCCCACCCTGCAGCCCTTGCACAGATGCGCAAGATCCTACTCCAGACGGTGCTCCCGGGACTCGGGGGCAGCGGCACTGCGAGCAGGGCCTCATCTCATTTAGAACCTTCCTTCTGCAGACTGTCCTTCAGGGGCATCCCAACTGTCCGCGCAGTCTGGCCCAGTGGGGAAGGGAACAGGAACTGGCCACGTGGCTGGGGGTGCGCGGGGGCCAGGGCATCTGGAAGCCCCACTGCAGGAGGGCTGTGTCTGGGATGGGGGGGGGGCCTGCACTGACGTGAAGCTCTCAAGCGCACATCCAGTGAGACCTGGCAGAGAGAGGCAGCCCTCATTTGCTGGATGGAAAAGAGTGCCCAGGCTGGGGAGTGAGCATGCTGGGCTCTGGGAAGGCGTCCAGCCTGGAAAACACTAGGTTAGGCAGAATGAAACTGGTTTGTTAAATACAGGACTCCCCATCATCTGCTAGGGGGGAGAGATGGCAGGCAGCCTTGCCCAGGCTTATCTCAAGGGGAACCCTCGCCTGCAGAGCAGCACGTAGGGCTGGCTCCACACCACCTGGCAATCCCCCGCACGAACTGCTGCCCCTTGCTCGGCTCTGCACTGGTTCGCGCGCTCAGCTGAGAGGCTACGCCACTCCCTGGGGACTGGACCGGAGCCTCCCAGGGAAGAGAGAACTCTGGTAACACCAGGGGGTAAGTGAGCCGCAGCTGGGACTGGCAGAGGGCCCAGTGCAGCACCCCTGGGCCTCTCTAGAAACCAGCTGCAATTAGCACCCTGCTTCCTGGGAGCAGCCTCTGGGGAAAGGCGAGAAGAGAAGGCGAGGCAGGGCCCTCTAGCGCGGCCCCGCAGTTGTCTTTGGAGGGCTGAGAGCAGCAGGAGGAAGTCGTGAGCAACCAGGGGGCCTCCCACTCAGCGTCTGCAGCAGCCGCGGCTCCCGGCAGGCCTGAGTGGCCACTCACTTCCAGCTGGGACGGCTCTGGGCCCGCCTCAGCCCTGGGCCCTCTGGTGACTCAGCACCACCACAGGCCCCCAAGCAGGGCCTCTTCCGGTGAAAGGCTCAGGGGTGATGGGGAGGGGAACCGCGGCTGGATCTCCTAAGACCCAGCTAGAGAGGCCTGCAGGGCCCTCCCGCTCCTGGACCCGCATCTCCCTCCACCTCAGAAGGGCCCAGAGGGCAGCTGGTCCAGGAAAAGGACGTTTTATTTCCATAAATACTCCTGCTCTCACTCACACACTGACCCCACTCGGCCCACAGAAAGATGGATGGGCAGAGGTGAGCCGCCCACAGGAGGCCCCGGCAGAGGCCAGGGACTGAAGGAGACGCACTGAGAACTCCAATG